ACAGGGCAGGAATTGTACCTGATGGCTTCTTTCCCCTGAAATTCGGAAGGCATGGGTTCAACTATCTCGCTGAAACTCAAACTGCCATTGATGCTGCTCTCATACAGCTCCTTGTAATTTTTTCTGCGCTTTGCCCAAAACGAGGGCTTCATAAAGAAGAACGGCGTGCGACGTAGTCCAAACTCCCCTGCACAGTAAAGGGAAAAAGACAATTTCTTAACAGTAACCGCAGATATTCCTCAGCTTTTGGGTTTTAGCTACAAAAGCCACGAGGCATCCTGCTAAAAGCTCAGGAGCCAGCCCACACCTCCACTCTGGAGGGACTTCATCAGCTGAGTTTACATGACCTGCGTTTAAGCCACGGTTGCCATCAGCACTGCTAGCAGGTTCCAGTTTTGCCAAGTATTTAAATATACGTGCAAATCTCTCTCTATGCAAGAGAAACCCCCAGTGCTGAAAGAACGGCGACTTAAACGCGGGCAATATAAAGCCAAAGAGATCAGAGGCAAAGAGCTGAAGGGCTTGATCAGGCATTAGTCAAAAGACTAACAACTTTATTCTACGTTTCATGTTAAACTACTGCCGTCTCAAGGAAAGGTCTGGAACAGGCAGAGCACTCTTTGATTTTCAACCCTGCAAGAGCAGATTGCAAAGGCTGAGCCCCTCGTTAACCCGGTAAGGAAGCTTTTCCTTTAGAAAGCGGGAAGCCAAGTTTACCTGGTGTAGCTAAAGGCCATCGATTCTAAACATGCTAACAGCCCTCCTCACCTCTCACAGCTTTAATAGGATATAAATTATTTCAGCTAAAAGCATTCCGAGTCACGGCGTAAAATAGATTTGCGAACAGCAGCTGAAAGTAATTCAGAAATGCCAGCAGCCGCGCCAGCCTCGGGGACATGGGACTTCAGGGAATCGGTGATGCCAGCACAACTCAGTTCAATTTTTCTGAGGAACGTACCTGGGATAACCTGATCAAGGTAGACAGCGACCAGCAGATAAAATATGCTATCCAGCACCAACAAAATAAGAGAGATAAAGAGCGGGTAGGGACCGCGATTTAGATTTGAAAACGTTGCACCATCTTCATAATCTTCCAGATGCATGACCTGCCAACACACACAGACCAACAGAGACGTTACCCACCGGCGCTGCGCTGGCCTGGCAAGACATGATGGCACGGGGCACTTAGCAGCAGGCAGGAAAAAAAAAAAAAAAAAATGGAAAAGTGTCTGAGATCACGGCAACGAACACAAGGAACAAGAGTTGCTTGGTGGTGCGCTGTCTTTTACTTGACACTAAATTGCCATGGGGAGCTATTAAAAGAGGCATTTTTCCCCACCATCATCAGTTTATTAAAAAAATAATAATATATATATATATTTAAGAATATATATCACTACCCGTTTGAAAACGATGCAAGACAAAGGAGCACGACGAGGTTGCAGCCGGAGGAGAAGGTTATTTACCTGTGCGACGCCGATCAAGAAGCTGCACTGACACAAGGGGCTGAGAATCCACACGAAAGACTTGGGGAAATCTTCCAGCAGGACGATATTAAGGCCCACAAAACCAAAAGCCAGCGTTGCCAAGAACTCCACTATACCCACGTGCTTTGACTTTTTAAATAGAGGCGTCAGCATAAGTGCAAAGAAAACCTAGGGACGGATTAAAAAAAATATACGAAGGTGTTAGATTAAAAAAACCCCAATAATACAAGGTATAGAAAAAATGAAGTAAAAAGCTTCAGTTTTGCCTCTGATAACCGTATCATTTTCCTGGTCCAGTCACTACAGCATTCGCCCACATCCCACACTTCCCTTACCAACAGGCCATCGGGAGGGACAGATTTCCCAGACATGCCAGGTGATAGAGCGCAGAAAAATAGTTATAAAAGAGAACTAAGGAGTGCTATGGCTGAGGGGGCATATACAGCCTGGTCAGTCCCCCTTCTGTAATGACAGACAGTAACGAAATAACTGTCTCTGCCCTGGTTGCTTATGAACTCTGACAAGGAATTTGCTGTATGAATTAATTCTCTGACCTTTCATTAGGGTTTTATCATTACATGATGTAGCAAGAGCAAATGTTTAGAAGCGGGCATGGGTTTGGACTTCGAAACGGTGCTGTACAGTGCCTTCAGTTCAAAGACAGATGATTGCAAACTCAGATACTTCAGCAAGGAAAGATATTCCTGATAGTGATGGTTGAGACCTGTGCAACATCCATCCCAAACCAGTGCGGATCCAGGGAAGGGGATGAGGGCAGGTGAGGCACCCGCCACCGTTCGGCCCTACAGAAGCTGCATTTGTCCCAAATGCTTTAGGAGGGAACAAGGTAAGATGGGAAGGGACAAAAAAAATACCACAGGGATGGAATGACCGAATTCGTTGAGAGCAGGAATACTTACTGAAGAGATTCCATACAGGAAAAAGAGGAGAAATATCACAAAGGCACTGCTCTGGGGAAAGAGGGAAGAGGCCGTCGCAATCACCGCCATGAGAATGGACATGACAAAAATCAGGCTCATGTAGAGCAGCACCCAAGAAAGCCTAGGAGCAAAAATGAGGGGGGAAGAACAGAAACCAGTCAATGAATTCCCAGCCTGAATTATTCACACACAAAAATAGCTAAAACTACCATGCTTTAATATTCCGGGCAGCTGCACCAAAGCACAAGCTTGCAACAAAACAAGAGCCCCCAGATAAAGAGAGCTCTTGTAAACACCCCTGTAACTGTTCCTGGCATTAGAGCACACACATCAGTACCCACGGCATCGGAAAGACACAATTAGATGATTCATGTTTTTCCTTTTTTTTTTTTTTTTTTCCCTTTAACTTGCATAATTAATTCCCTGGTATAACCAAAAGAGGGTAACTGAGTAGTAGGTTTTAATAATTAAAGAAATTCTATTTAAAGTTTAATACACTCGTCATTCCAGCAGCTGTGCAGGGTAATAAAATCCTTTTTTTTTTTAAAAAAAAAAAAAAAGTAGAGATGCAAGTCCATGAGCAATTCTGATCTCGAGGAAAAAAAGGGTGGATCGGGTACATGTAGTAAAAAATGACACATCTTCCTCAGAAGCAAGATGCTGAGTTGTATTCAGCGGCCGATCAAAGCCGCGTTGCCTTTGCGGATTGCTCCCATTTCACACTGGGGAAAGTAAAATGGTTTTCTCCAGACCAGAGATGCTCAACGCCGATGTGTGAGCAGGGACAGTGGACCAGTGCTGCGGGTGAAGGACTCGGCTAAATAAGCTTCGCTACCAAGGATGTACCGCAAGCAAACAGAACTGACTGCCAGGAAAAGAGCTCGGGTGCAGAAATAAAACAAAAGCAACCAGAAAAAAAAAAAAATAACCCAGGCAACCCCAGCCGGCTGTTGTGGTGCAGGAGGGCAAGACGCTAAAACGCCGTCGGCCGCCGCGGCAGAAGGCAAAGCTAAACCCACGTTTAGCTCTGCAGCTACCCATGATTTCAAATCAGTACATCCTCTCATTTTGAAGAGAAAAACCCATTATATTGCACAGGGGAATTTCCATCGGGGTAAGGAAACAAATTAAAACCTGTTGCTTTGACGGCTCTGTCACATTAAAACTATAGAGTGAGATTCATTTAATCACGTGTCACAGAAATGCTGCTGATAAACCCTCAGAAGAGACTGCAGGCTACCTGTTGAGCCTCCAGGAAAGGAGGTATGAGCCAAAAATATTTAAAGCCAGCAAAAACCAAACTACATAGAAGTCCTGTACATCATCACATTTAATCCCTCTAAGTCTGGCGTAACTTTACATGCATAAGTGCAACAGCATTTACTTACTAAAATATTCCTAGTTTCATGATACTGCAAGTATCTCTGTTTGATTTTACAGAGTATCTCACTTCCAGGCTGTTTACAGTTCACCAGACTGAAAACCATTAAAAAAACTGGAGGATGAGATAGAGCGGCTTTCCTAGAAAGTGTTATTTTTTTTTTTTTACTATGTCTTTATATATTTTCTGTTTCTTTTATAAAGAACAGGTCATACCAAAGACTCACGTACCAAAAGGCGGTGTCATGAAGTCCCAATATTTTTAAGAATTCCTTCAACTTCCTCTCCTTTTCTGCCACAATATGAATGGCCAAATAATACCCGAACGGTGAGAAAGCGATCACTAGGTAAATTAAAATGATGGCACGAGGAAAATTATCTATTTCCACCACGGCAGCCTCTCCCATGACCATTGCTCTTGTCAATTCAAGTTGTTCCCAAACCGATTGATTAGTCTTCAGCTGAAAGGAAGAGAAGGAAGAGATATTTTGGCATCGCTCCTGATTTTACAGCCCCATCCCACCCAGCGGCAGCGACCCCGGCTCAGCCCCCCCACACCAGCGTGTGGCACCGTCCTCTCCATCCCCGCTGACGGAGGGAGCTGGGGACCCCGAAACCTTACTGTCCCCAAATCCCAGTCCAAAAGCACGGGGATTGGAGCCTATCTGAACACCTGGAGATAAAACGAACGATTTTCCAATTCCCATCGCCTAAAAAGATGAGACTCGCTCCCACCGCGAGCGGCACAACGGGAGAGAAACAGGAAAAAGGGCATCGCTGACAAATCCTGACAATAAAATAGCAAGGCAAATCCTGCAGCCCCTTTTGGTACAGCTTAAACAGTATTTTGGGGCGAGCACTGACAAGCCTTCGCGTTCCGACAACTGCCATGATCATAGAATAGAACCATAGAATCCAACCGTTAACCTAATCCTGCCATCCCACGTCTAAACCATGTCCCTAAGCACCTCATCTATCCTTTTAAATACCTCCAGGCATGGTTGATGTGTGGTTCAGGCTCGTTTGGACCCAAATGAAGACAAATGTCTCCATTATCCAGCTGGACAAGAACACTTCTGTACAAAACACGGCAAAACTCGGGTGAAATCTTCTGCCTGCTCATCGGATTCAAGCTAATTTTTGATATGGCATTTTACACCACTAATAGACAGCATCAGAAAAACGCTCGGAGCCAAGGCAGTCCACAGCTTCGGGTCTCCTTGGTCTTGTGTTACTCGTTCAGAGTTACCTGTATGATGGCAGCATCGATGCAGGCTTGCAGAGCCGTAAACCCCGAGCTCCAGTACGTTACCGATTCACATCCTTTCCGCAGGTTGGAGCAACTGGCTGCAGAATAAAGCAGGGCATTTCAAAATGCAGAAAGCTGGAGTTACAGCCATCCTATCCCCAACGTAAAGAAGCTTGAAGAGAGCCCTCAATGGTAGAAAAAACTTCCAAACCCCAATATATCCAACATCCAGCCAGAAAAGGAAAAGAGGGTCCGATTTTTCAGTTTATCCCCTTACAGCGCACATCTAAGAGCGTGCACGATTACCTCTGGATTCCATATAAATAGAAGACATCGCGACCGAATCGGGAAACCTCAGCTGGTAGGACATGGCATCGTTGAAGACAACCCCCACGAAGTTGGAGGGTTTCGAAGCGCTAGCCTCTTGCAGCTCCTCTTCGCTTAAATACTCCTCTGTGATGATGCCTGCGAGACGGAAGAAATTATCCTGTTGATTTTAGGTATCAGCACAGCAGGAAGGAAAACTGTGCAATGGTGTTTTAAAGAAGTGCCAGGCTAATCATTAATGATTTATCTGGGTTGGGATATATATAGTGGTGTATTTTTGTCCTAGTCAAGGAAGTGTTTTCCTGCACAGGAACCTGCAGGAGCGCCGCTCAGCAGCAGGGTGGGTAATTCAAATTTACCCCCGAGTCTTCCCCCTTTTTCCCCCACCATTTTTTGCTGCTCCAAGAGCTTCTGCACCCCCATCCTCTTAGAATCACAGAATCACTTTGGTTGGAAAAGACTATCAAATCCAACCGTTCCCCTAACCCTGCCATCCCACCACTAAACCCTGTCCCTAAGCACCTCATCTGTCCTTCTTTAAAATCCCTCCAGGGATGGGGACTCGACCACCTCCCTGGGCAGCCCCCTCCAGAGCCTGACAGCCCTTTTGGTGAAGAAGTTTTTCCTAATGTCCAACCTAAACCTGCCCTGGCAGCAGCACTCCAAAACCAGTGCTTTGCAAGAAGGGCAGGTTAAATCTGCGCAGAGGGGCAAGTAAGGGGGAAACATGGTATTTTGCCCCTGACTTCAGCAGAGGACAGGAGGAAGATGGCTGCGAAGGCAGGACATGGAACTGTTTGAGCTGAGGGCACCCGTAAGGAAAACGCAGATCTCGGGCTGGGCTGTTTCTCCGCGGCACCTTTGAAGCATGCATACCACAGGGAAGAGAATCACAGACACCAAACTAAAAATACATCAGAGTGGTTTTGCAGAGACGAGTTCCCACCAGCTGTGTCAGCTGTGCAGGCAGAGCACGTCAAAAGGGAAAAAAAAAAAAAAAAAGAAAAATTGCTTTCAAAAGGTGACACAGCATAAATGGGAATGGTCATTTAAAAAAAAAAATAAAACTGAAATGGTGTTTCGATAGTGACAACAGCACAGAAAATGCGACCCGATGTATCTGCAGGACAGTATCATTTCCTGAATTTGCCCCAGGACAAGAACTGATGAGCCCTAGAGCTGTTCAGGGGCTTTTCATACTTCGCCTTTGGGTCCTCCAAAAACCTTTCCCGTGGCCACATAACACTCGTTGGCTGCAATAGAATGCGAACGGCTTTGAGATGGCAGTGCCAGAACATTTGCCAATCAAGCAAAAAAAAAAAAAAAAACCCAAAACAACCCAGCAACAAAAAAACCCCAACACCTTCCCAGTCTGTTCTCTATCTGCGATGGAAAAGAAATGCCTTTTTTTTTTTTTGCTGTCAGCAGTGACAGCGAGCTCCCTCTTTGAACCCCAGCCACAGCACGAGATAGACTGAGAAAAATAAAAGGCTTCAGTTCTGCATACCATCTTCGAAGTTATCAAAAGCCACTTTCTTCATGATTTCTCGTGCCATTCGGGTGGGCGGTGTGTACCCGATGACAAAATTCACCAGCATGGAGGTATCCAGCGTGCCGAGGTTGGTGTTGGCGACCTCGCTGTATTTCCTGTGCGGATGCATCATGCTCATCAAAATCAGCCAGAACAAGAAGAAGAGTGGGAAAAGGACCTCCTGTCCAAAGAAAGAAATATGAAAGCTTCAAAGAGCAGTCGTCAAAAGAAGAGTTTCCAGAAGTTTATCTTAGTTACACGAAGATTAAAGGAGGGACTGTGAGTTTAATTACTTGACTGTAAACTTCCCCGCACGTTTTCAATGCCACAGTAATTTTAACGCCAAATCCTTCTCTGGCGCTGCAGCAGGATTTTAATCGCATGCCTCGGCAGCCTGAGCAGCCGCTCCAAGGTACAAAGGGATAAATTCTGCACGCTTCAAGTATCAGCAGACCTATGCTATCTGGAAAGCAGCAAAACACAAGCCATGAACCATTAAACCAAGCACTGCACCGTCCCTTCTTCACCTCAAAATTCAGCTTAAAGTACCACACGCATCACCCATGCACAGGGCTAAATCGTTAGAAAAGGATAAAAATCCTTTGGAGAGGTTTAATCCCACCACAGTGCTCAGTTCTGGGCGCAAGAGTTTTTAAAAGTGCATTAAGATTGCAATATTAATTCAAGGACATTTTCTGGATAATGCCTTCCACATTAGGATGCATTTGCAACCAAAGGATCCCAAAATACCTTCTGGAAAAGCCTATTTCAACCCCAAATTCAGAGCAGACCTTGAAGCTTCAGAAGCGTAATAAAACAGAGCATTGCCTGACTCAGGAGCCACTTAAATGCAGAATAACTGCAACACGAAGGCAGCAGTAAACAAGTACGCCGCTTACCTGAACGCTGCTTTTTTTAGTCCTGCACTTAATAAGACAGTTCTTGAACAAGAGAGCTCGGGTTTGTCTCCACACTCCTGCTTCTCTTGGGGTAGCCGGTGCCATTTTTCAAGACTAGTTTAAGAAAAAAAACCAAACCACCACATCTGCATTAACTGACAAAATAATTTAAAAAGCAAAAGCCAGGCAGCTGCAGCACTCAGCATCTCCTATTTTTTTTTATTTTCATATATATTTTTCATTTTCAATTTTTCATCCTTGAAATGCCTTCCAATACGTGTGCTAGATGCCCGTTACATGAAGAAATCCAGCTGGGTGAGGCCACGGGACACGACCCGAGCACCCACCCACAGGCAGGATCAGCTCCACGCAAGCTCCTACGACTCCAGCAAACCTGGGCTTATTTTCATTTTGCTACATCTAGATTACAAACCCAAGTCTTTATCTCGGAGCACAATTCCAGCGCCCACCACGTGAGCTCAGGGCAGCCAGCCAGAGCCACGCATCTGAAAACAAGAGCTATCTCCCCCCAGGCAAACTGTTCAATTTACCATGAGTAACCCCCTTTTCATTCTGGAGCAGATCCAACACCACTTATTTTCCTCTTTATTATTTTTTACCTTTTCATTAGGCCAGCTGCACAGCACAGTAGCGCTGAAGATAATCTTTGGGGGGAAAAAAAAGGAATAAAGTAAGACTGAAAAAAAAAGAGGCAGCATCCCATGCCACCAGGACGTACCTGGTGGGGGACAGCACGGCAGGCTGGGGAACCTCCACGTTTTTATCCCCAGTTTTGCCCCCTCCTCGCTGCCTGGGGTTCGGAGTCACTGGTCAGCCTACATCTCTCTCCGCTTCCTCGCCTGTGAAGTTGAAATAGAATCGTGAGCGGCTCAGCGGGGTCAGCTGGAGACGCAGCGCAGGTCTGCACGCCACCACCGTCCCCCCCAGCACCCCGGCCCCTCCGGCCCCCAGTCCCACCTGCAGCAACGCCCACGTGCCGCAGGTGAGCAACCCGGCCATTTGCCAACATTTCAGCCCGAACGCAGTGCGGATTCTAAGAATTCATCCGTATTCCACGTTTTACAGCTCCCGACACTTATTCAAAAGGCGGACTGATGGTTTTTGGTGACCGCGCGTTCAGAGCAGCTCTGCGGCAAGACCTGGTTTCTCCCATGTCTGTTGGGCAAGACATGGCTTGAGCTTCCTTCCCCAGCTGTATTTTAATACGAAAATCTATTTTTGGACTACAGACATCATCTAACTAAAGAAACACATGAGGTTGCTCAGATGTCAGCACCGCTGCTATGAGCTGAGCTTAAAGAACTTAAAATACACAAAGTGCTTTTTAGATGGGCAGCTCTACCAGAGCCTGCATTTCTCGGAGCAGAGGAGGGAATTGAGGAGGGGAAAGGCGTCCGCAAGCAACCAAACCCACTGCTCACGGCTTCCTTTGCCGGGTGTCGGGGTTCTCCGTGGGGCAGCAGCAGCAGCAGGCACTGGCAGCACGAAGACCTGCGGGAGACACAGCTGCGCATCGCTGAAGGTGATGCCTTGGGAAGAGCTCCCACCTGGAGCCTGGAGTGCTTCCCATGAAAGCCCATTCAATCGACTCCAAAATTATTTTCTTTTCCTTCGATTAAAAAAAAAAAAACAAACCCAACCAAAAAACACAAAACGCTTAAACATCAACCTATGCTAATAACCAATTCTTGCAGGAAAAATGCGTACAGCTCCTCTGGATATTTTCAAGCAAGGAACACTTCAAAATGACAGCAGAGCATTTTAAAAATAACGAAGCAGCTACTGCTTACAGGTCGTAAAAACTAATGCACTTCTCCTCTCTGCTCACAGCACACCCCTGTTAAGTGCTTGGATGTCCACTCTCTGCTCTCAGGAGCAGATTTCAAGAGCACTTAGAAGAGGAGAAGCTCCACTGCGGTCCTTGCTGGATGCTACATGGCCATGTCAAAGCAGCAGCCAGAAAACTGGCAAAGCTGATTTGATCAGACTCAATCACTAATGCCAGTGACTCTCTTTAATTCTCTTCCATCCAGTTATATATTAAAAAAAACCCCACCAAACAAACCAGCAATACTTCCACATCTTCACCAGAACACCTTCATGCTTTAATTTACATCACCTAGGTCAGAGGAAGGATCCTTTTAAGAATGTTAATTAATTTCTTGATATTACGCCTGCCACCTCCGCCTAAGCTGATGAAGCTACTGAACACGCAATTAAGAGTACTGAAGAAGTACCACTTGAATGGTTAAAAATTGTATCTGGGCAAAAAAAAAACCCCAAAACCTCCTAGAAACTCCAGATGAAGAAAATGAACACGTAGGCTGAACAGAAAGAGAAGCTGCCAAGATGTTTATTTGAATAACAGTAGACAAAATGAAAATGCCCTTAACCTGCCAAAGCCCCCCACAATTCAGCCACTTCCTTATGATCTTGCACCGACAGGAGAAGCGGCTGAAACACAGCTACTCGTGGGCATCTCCATCAAAGCCATCTCAAGGGAATTATGGGGTTTGTACTTGAATTTCACATCGGAGATGCTAGTGCTTCTTACAGGGGGGAAATAACGATCAGATGATACTTAGGAAGACTTCCCTCACTTCCCCAGGCATCAGCCTGACCATGGTCTTTAAGGGTCAGTTGGTGTGGTTTAGTAGTCACGTTTCCCTTGCTTTTTAAGCT